TGTTACTTCCACCACCTCATTTTCTTACATCTTCATTTCACCATCTCTTCTCAGCTATGAAATCTATTTCCTTTAAACAGGAAAATGCTGCATGTGTTGATACTTTTTATCTTTCTGTCACCTGTCTGATGGCACAGGTGCTTTTATTTCCTCTATTTCCTTCCTGGAAAGGCTCTGTGCATACTTTGTACATTTGTTGGCAAGGAGTGAGGCTTTTATCTTTTGAAAAAGAATTACCTAGGCTGAAGAGCTCTATGTGTAGGTACACTAAAGCTATTAGCTGTGTGTACATAAGGGCCCACTTCTGGATGGAAGTGTTTTTTTACACTGTTTCTGTGTACTGACATGCCTAGGATATGTGAATAACATCTTGCCTGCACTCAGAGACATGTTGAAATAAATAGAACTTAAATTAATTTCATTTTCACTCCAGTGGCTGAGATGGTATTGTAAAAGACACTAAGAAATTGCATGAATACAGGCTTTTAAAAGTGGCTAAAAATATAAGGGCTGTAGGGAAACCAGCATTCTTTTTTTTTTTTTTTTCTTATTTGATGACTCAATACTTTTGCCTTTTCCTAATAGTACCTAACAAATCTCAGCACGAGGAAGGGGATTCAGACTGACAGAATTCCCTGTGTTCTTAGACTGAGCAAACTCCCAGTTACCTACATGTGGGGAGGAAACTGAAACAGGATTAGTTTAGAGAAAAGTCTTTGTTTCTTAATTGATACACATGAAACAAAAGATTTTGACACAGTACATATGGAAGCCCACAATGTCACTTTTAAAGGCCACTTTCTGAATATAACTGCAGTTTGTGAGAAAAATATGATGAGAGAACATTCAGATGTCTTTCCTCTGTAAAATTTGTTATTCAATGTGCTCAGGGATCAAAGTGTGGCAAAAACTGTACAGAATAATGCTTTAAAAATGGAAGGGCAAAGGATCCAAATTAGAGACAGTCCATGACAAAACTAAAAAGAAAAATCTAAGCATAAAGAGAGCTTTACTTCTACTGAGATATGCATCAAGGAGATACCCATCATAACTTTCAAAGCCAGTATTATTCCTGCAACTCCCAACTCCCAGCTTCATTATTCAGCAGCATAGTTACAATATCTGTTCTTGTCCTTTGCAGAAGAGCTGATTTTAATATCACAGGGAAAAACAATTAGAAATTGTGAAAAGTAGGGAAGTAACACTTGTTGATAATGGACAGCTACCTCACTGGGCCAATGACCACATGAAATACAGACTGAATACTTGTAACTGTATTTGGTGTTTGTCAAATGTCTGTTTCTTCAGTCTCTGATTACATTTCTCACTTGTGTATGCTACCTTCAAGTTTGATGACATAATGACAGAATTAAACCCACTGTAATAATAACATTACAGGCAAACAAGTACCTAGAACCATAAAGGTTTAAAGATTCTTATTAATTTTCTATTTGAGGTTGATTATATCACATAGTTTCTTATATTTTGAAAAGACCTAAACTATACTAAAATTAGTAATATGATGACTGTGCCTACCAGTAAGAATCACCAGTGTGTCAGAAGGAATTCTCTTGTCTGCCTAAGATAATGATAGGAATCACTGTCTGAGAACGGGCAAACTTAGAGGGGGCTCAGCACAAACTGAGCTGAGTTCTGGCTTCTGAGTTATTTCCCCTGGAAATTGATACTGTTTTTCAATAAATTTGTTACCCTTTCAATAAATCTGTTACCTTTGCCATGTTGTTTTAGAAAGCCCTATAGAAGCTTCTGCCAAGAAAGACTGGTTTGAGCATTATATTAACTTGTATAAGGTACATCTAGACTAAAATGAAAGTATTTTTTAAGCAAAGAAAAGGTACTATGACCTGAGTTGCTATATGTTCATCCTGGAAATATTTAAGAGGAACCATGAAACTACTTTTATCAGGATTTTCCTCAGTGAGTATTCTGGAAAACAAAGTATGTAGGAAATATTTGTGGCATAATTAGTCATATGGGTTTTTCTGGCTAAAAGCAGACATGTTTATCTAATAACTATTGTCTTGTAAGGCTCTGATATAATTTTTCTTAAATACTTTGAATTCTTGATGTTTATTTTCTGTGAGAATTCTCAAAAGTTTTTATTAAAAGGAGAATTTTATCCCAGTAATAAAAAGTGGTAAGAAACTCTGGAAGTTATTTCTATATGAGAAAGTCCTCGTTGCATCTCCAATGCCCTTGTTTAGAGAGGCCCTTGTGTGTGTGAGCTCTCCCAGATGCACAACAGCTTGTCAGCCTTCCTGCAGCCACTGCTGTCAATTTGAGTCACAGTGATCCCTCCTGCACGGATTATCTTAAAATAGCACACTATAAATGAAATCTTGCAATTATCACAAACACCCAGGTGTTTGGTGGGGCAGGATGGCCAGAGGAGAGCTGTTTAACCTGCCCAGAGAACTTGTGTCCTTGGTTAGTATTTTCCGAGGGCAGTTGGCCACTGTGTGCACACTCTTGCAGCAACACAGCTCTTGTGACTTGCTAAATCCGTAGAAAAATGCAGGGGTAGCTGGTCCTGCTGCTGTCCTTCTTAAACTAAATGATAAACAGCACAGAAAAAATAGAGGTTGGAGGGAGAAGCTGAAAGAAAAGAGTGAGATCAATCTAAGCCCTTGTTGGCAGACAGCCACACTGCCTTCACCTTGCCAAATTGCCACCTCCAGCCATAAGGGCCTTGTCTCTTTTCTCTTCCTGCCTCTCGTGCAGTGAGCCACCCCTGCAGACATCATCTTACTTATTCTGTTAGATAATGAAAGACAATGTGTGTTTACATATTCTATTTTTCTGGTTATCATTATGTAGTGTACTAAATGACTTACTATTGCTTTTACAGATTTGTAAACATTATTCTCACACCTTTTTAAATAGACTTCTATTGCTGTAATTATGAACATGTTGTGTTTGCAGACAAGAATTGTATGGGTTACAGGGAAAAAAATAGCTGTTCTTTTGCAGTGACAGAAAAGCTATTTTCTTCATTTAAACTCAGGTTGGTTTAGTAGGGTGTTAATGACCTGAAACTGGCAATTTTAACAGTATATCTTCACTTAAAATGCTACAGGAAGATTATGTTGGGTTGCATAAGTATTGTATTTGTGCAGAAGCTGATTATTTAAGCCAGAGAGTAATGAAATGTGAAACTGATGATGCCATGTATTCTCTTCAGTCTCTACAAATTACTATAAAAATCAAAGAATCAGTCACAGTGAATATATTAAAAACCACATCAATTTCCCAGTGACAAGAGATTCTGTAGTAAAGATTTATAATCTCCCATGTAACAAAGAAAACATGAGAAGATGATAGGCTGAGGAGCATAACCTAGACTTGAGTACTGGGAAGAGCAGAGTTTAGAAACTCATGAGTCATGTACTGGAATACTGATGGAAGTGGAAACTGATGGGACTTTTCTTTTTAGATTTGTTCTGCAGTTGAGTTGCTCCTTTGGGAGATCTGTGTGCTTTGGCATCAGGGTGACTGAAAACTAGAGAAACTTAAAACATTCTGGGCTCCCTTGAGTTGATTGGAGCCTCACTGTTCCTGGTCTGGGAACCTTGCACTAACAGATGAAGAGTCTAAATGAGCTGAAGATGTTTAGGTTGTTATTAAACAATGCCAAGGGAGAGAGAAAAATCTCAGACTTATTGCCACCTAGACGCTTTCCAATTCATCAGAATTTAGCTGCTTCAGTGTTTTTCTGTGGGTTCTCACTACCCAGTTCTCTGGTCTTTGCTTACTTTTCCTTTTGTCCATTTTATTATCTGATGTACCAGCTCTGCCAAGTGGCACATTCCAGCCCAGTCCCTGGGTGTGACAGCCATGCTGTATCTAATCATGAACTGCTGTGCTCAGAGACTTGATAGCACTTGAAAACATTGGTCTTGCTCTGAAAACTGTGAGAGGAGTTTAGTGTAGGTGAGGGTTATTGGACTGATAATTGGAGAATGATAAATTAAATAGGAATACTATTTCTTTTTTTGTATTCTGAAACAAATTTGGGGTTTTTTTTGCAACAATTATTATAACTTGAAACTCCATGGGATTTCAGACAAAATATTAAGCTCATTTTTTTAACTACTATGAACTCTTTAAAAGTTTAAAAAGTTTGTTTTTTGTTTTTTGTTTTTCCTGAAAGATAGGATAAATTTATTCATGGATAAAATCATGTTTTAAAGGGGAAAATTTGCGCTGAATTGAGGCTTACTGTGAAGCACCTTCAAACATTGTGGAAAACTGAATTTGACTTTGCAGTTCTGTTACTTTTAAGATTATCTGAGAGGATTATTTGTATTTCTAGCAAAGCTCTGGGAAGCATGTAATACATGTAGAGTGGAGTAAACTTGAGATCCTGTTAATCATGTACTTAGCATCTGTGTTTTTAGGACAGCACATACTTGTGTGATTTTGGCCCATCATTTGTGATCTGTTTGAGGATTCCTGAGAATAAAGAAGCTATATATAAATTTAAGATAATATTATCAGATGAAAGCCCTGCCAGCTTCCATAGACAGAAGTAGATAAACAGATACTGTGTACCACTTTGTGGTTTTGATCTTGGAAAATAGATTGCAAAAAATAAAAAGAACCTGTCTAGAATTTTATAGTTGCCCTATGCCCTAGGTGCTCATTTAGCATTATTTTTTCAAGATATCTTTATGAGAATAAATGAGAATGTTTAGATGAGAAAAGAAATCATAATAAATGAAGTTTACAATTTTACAGAATATACTGCTTTCTGGGTTAAAGAACATGAAATAAAAATTGCATTGTAGATATACAGTTGCTGTGAACAATATTGGAATTCTAGTGTTAACAAACCAAGAAAAACTCTAAAACCACATCTTTATAACAAAATCTTCAAATGGTCTAGCTGTACCTGGACAAACTATATCAGTGAGGATGATATCAGTGAATAAAGTTTTAATTATCTCACCAAATAAAGAACGGAGGTGGGTGTAACTTACTGTGTCAGCACGATAGCCACAGCATCATTTAGGACACTCTCTCCAAACAGGAGTGTGTATAAATCTGTATCCACATTCAGCTCATGGAAAATAGCAAGGACTGTCACTGTATGGAAAGACAGCAAAGTGAGTTGTTATTTTTGTATTCTTCTGGCAGTTCAAGAAATAAAGCAATGTTAAAATACTGGTTTTGAGAAGCCCAGTCCTTTGCATTGCCTAAGTGGATAAAAATGAGTTAAGAAGGATCAACCAGAATATGTAAGATCCTTAAATTCATCAAGTCCATGAGTTTTGCTGCTTCAGCTGAGTTAGGAAGAAGCTTTCCCTCTCACTCAGAGAATCCTACAGAAATGAAAATGTCACAGCATGTTTCAGTGTGCATAAAGCACCGTGATCTTGTGACCACAGAGGAATAAGGATGCTGAAAAGAGTTGGGTTTTACTGTGGATTTTGTATGATAAGTAGGGGTTTACCTGTTTTAAGAAGGATATAATAACACTTACCCATCTGCTACACATGTTCACTAAGGAATGTGCAGCATAACCACCTGTGCTGCCCCACGCTCAACAAGGATGTAGCTCATGGGTAACCACGAAGTGTCTGACCCAACCCAGGATATTTGACACCTATTAACCATTCTAAGGCTCCTTCAGCATAGCACTGGTCTAAGTTCTTTCCTTCTCCCTGAGTTATACCCTATATTTGATTTTCAGTTTACCAATGCAAGAGAAAAAATAGAGTGTGGTGAATTTAAATTGAAGGTGAGCAATTTAGATACACATCCTCAGGAGTATTTAGACATTTAATTCATATTCAGGTAATTAAGTCCTGTAGATATTAACTTAGGCCTTCTCTGTTTTTCACTCTTCCCTGCAGAAAAGGATTCACAGTCCTTCCTATGGTCTATCCTGCACTCCATAATCTCCAGCTGAAGAAGGCTCTCTATGTTCTGTGTAGGTATTATTTGAATTCTTATTATTCTTATTATTTTCTCTTTGCATAGAAAAAGCAGAGCTTCCTAATTTCAAACAGAATTTAATGTAAAGATCCTCAATTATTTGTCTGGCTAAAAATGACATTGTAACTCACTGCTTCACTGGTGAGCATTCTAGTACATAACTGTGCAATTGACTCAGTCCTCATAGGCCAGGAATCCCAAAGATTAAGAGTGCTTCTGGGATGTCAAGTTCACATCTGACATTTTAGAAATAAAAATTATATACTTTTACATTTACATGACAGCTGATAATTCATACAAAAGCATGACCAGCTGATTATGCTTTGTCTTAATAATATTTCTTGGAACTTTGAAAGCGCTGCTTCTAAGATTTTCTAAATGCCACTTAAATAGCTATGTAATCTCAAAATCAGTTTATAAACCCAAAATAGATTCTCAGTTTTCCTGTGAAATTTTATGTTAGAGTGAACTCTGTTGATGTGTTATCTCTGAAGAATTTTGGAAGTGTTATTCTACAGAAGACAATTTAGGAGATGTGTGTAGCTGAACATTTGCTGATGAAGCTGTATTTAAATTAGCTAGTTATATTTAACCATCCTGGTAACCTCACCCATCTACTCCCACTGCAGTTATAATTTAAACTAGAAAAAGAGTTCTTTCCCTAGAATAGCTCAAAGGTGTAGGCAGAAGCTTTATTGACAAAAGATATTTTCTTCTTTCACCAACATCTATATTCAGGTTTTTGCCTGATTAGCAATGCTGACTTAATGTGCTAAATGGGGACTCAGTTTAGTCTCCTGCTCTCTAATGTCATTGGCATAAAAACAGACTTGTTTGCTAAAACTATTTGCCACTTTCAGCTTTTGCTTATTAGCTAATTAGTTTGGGCTCTTGTTAATAGTCCCTGTGATAATGATAGAAGGAAAAGAAAACAGTAATCAAAGTCCAATGTATTGCTGGGGTGTGTGTGTAGCAGGCCAAGCCAATTAGACAGATGCCTACACATTCCTCTCCTTCCTCTTGCCTCCTAAGTAATCAACTTTCTCTCCTTGCTTTCTTTCCCAACTCTACCCCAAAAATATGACTTTAATCTTTTCAAATTAAAGCAAAATAATAAAACAAGCAGTGCAGTAATGCATCAATTGCTTCTTCTGGGAGAATCTCCCCAGCTCACCCAGCTCTCAGAAAGTATCTTCCATTTCAAATGTTTTCCCATTTCCAGGGGAGATTATTGGATCTTTACCTGTCCCTGACTGAAGGGTACTGGTTTTTGCTATGTCCCTCTGCTTGTCTGGCCCAAGGCAGAGCAAACTTCAGCCCAACCACTGCTGACAGATATTTATCTGATTTGTTTTTAAAGAACTGAAATGATGCTGGTTCCACAAATCCCAAAGGAGTCTAACTTGCTCTTCAGTATTCATACAATTTATAAATGCAATTATTCCTGAATCATGTCTAACCCAAATCTCCCCTCCTGCTTTTCAAGTCTGCAATTTCCATTCCTAGCCTAATGAGAAACAAAAATTTGTCATCTTTATTCTGATTTTCTTTCAGCAGAATTTGTCTAGTCAAAGGCTCATTGCATACATCTCCTCCCTAAAAAGACTCACTTCTTTCAATCTTCTCCTTTTAGTAATGTTTCCTTGCCCTCTAATCAGCTCATATCTTTCCTGAAATACAGTGCCTAAAACCAGATCCCAGTAATGTAGCTGACACTTGCTGTCAAGAAATAGAATGATAAAATGCTCTAGAACATGTTAATAAATCCTGTTTTCCTTTTTTTTTTTGCTATGTATTGGTACTTACGACTCATTTTCATAGGTTGTAAACTTGAAATAATTTTCAGAAGTGAACACTCACTTCTTATCTGCTATCTATGAAGATGCTCTTTTTCAAGTGTAGCATTTATCCTTGTCTATTTTAAATCATTACAGGAATCACATTGAGCTCTATCCATACCTTTCAGAATGTTCAAAATCTCCTTTCAGCAGAATATTGTACAATAAAGAAACACTCTCTTGCATTGGCCAACTCATTAATGAAAATTATAAATTGTATCTGTACAAGAACAGAGATCTGCAGGATCTTTAGCACATCCACCCTGTTTAAGAGCTCCAGGAAACATTTCTACCTTGTTTTGACCACTACAGTCTAGGCACTTCCCCATGATCATATTTGCCTTCATTAATTATGAGAATCTATGGGCATAGGTCAGAATGGAACATCAAAAGGGATGTGATACTATGCTGTAGAAGAAAGTTAATTAAAGTTACTGAATAGCATTACAGAATACTGCTCTAGGACTAGTCATCATGTCCAACGAGTCACATCATGTTTGGTCTAAGGGATGACTTTAAAACGCAAGGGAAATAATTTAAAAATAATATACTTATTGAAATAATTATTATATTAAAAATAATATAGTTATACCAAGTTACTTATACTAAGTAACATGTCTAGTCTGCGAGAACTTTGGTATCTAAGTGAAGACCGTAAATGCTGCACTGCTGTCAGCTTGGACCCTAGCTTTCTGAAGGCACTGCTGAGGAACAGTAAGTAGGGCTTGGTTTTTATGTGGTAACTACTCAAAAACTTGTATAATTCATTAGATACAGTATGTATTATAAAAATACCAAACTACTTTTCATTAAAGTACACATCTCATTTCAATGTAAGCATGAGGACAGAAATAGAGGCAGGTGAAGAACTGGCTGCAAGGTCATTGGAGGAGTACCAACACTTTTTGTGGCAGTAGAAAACTGACACCAACAGAAATAACATGTACCAGAGCTGCTGACTCAGAAAGGGTTGTGAACTTCAGTTAAAAATTCAGTGATGGGAAGCAGGAAATAGTGAGGCATCTAAGATTTGCACAGTATTTATGCCAACAGAAGTCTGATTCACTTCTTCCTTGACTTCATGGGCTGAGGTAACATCTGTCACATGCTAAGCCCAACATGATTTCAGTGGTACCCAAGTCATAAGAAGTGTTTGTGGAGCTGTGAAAGGTATCTTTTGACAAATGTAGAAAGAAATTGACTTGTTATAGATCCCTGTAAAAAGTATATATAACCGAAAAATCACCAAACTACAACAATTCCTGTGCTAACTGTATCCAATGCTACTTTGCTGTTACTTTTAAAAGAATAAGGAAACAAAAAATAAATTACATAATTATATAAGGTACTGGTATTATTTTACTTCAGTTTTCCAACTAGAACTATGAATATCTTTCATAGCTCATGGGCCTAAATTCTTTTAGGAGTGCAGTATCAATTGGGAAGAAAATAAAATTAGAAAAATCTTTTATTTCCTATTGACTTTGTCTAAAAATAAAGATCCCAATTTGAACTATAGCATTCTTTCCCTATTAATAAGTCACAGCACTCACAGATCAGTGGTGAATAAGAAGAAAGCAGACATATATTTTAATTAAAAACACATTTATAAACTGTCTTACATAACGAGCACTTGAAATGCATTACCTTCTATTTATAAATTACGCTTCTTAATGCAAAATCCTTCGATTTTACGAGAAACAGAAACTGCTCTTTCTGATAAATATCCAATTTTATCAATAACAAGAGCAATGCAACCCACAGCTCCTGTTCAGCTGTAACCATAGTAACTTCAAATAGGGAAGAGCCTTGTGATTGTCAATGTGACCAAAGGTAAGGGAGTTCATGTAGCTCAGAAATAGCTGTGCTTCAGCAAACCCTGTGAAGGTAAATCTGTTTTCTATACTTGAAATATCAAAAGTTAGAAAAAAACCAAAAGGAAGGGCTAAAGGTATGTGAAATGTCTTTGCACGGGAAGGTCGTTGCCCAGAACATGCAAATAGCAGTGGCCCTGGAGTTGCTGGTGTGTTTTTGGTGGCTGAGGCAGAGGTCCCATCTTTACATCCCTGTGCCAGCACTGTTCTGTTCTTTATTCCCTTACAGCCAGGGCAGCCTGTCAGTCACAGGGGACAGCTGGGTCACAATTCCCTCGTGTGCAGTGTCACTCTGCAGTCTCTGGTGGCAGCGCCTTTCCCTGGCTCACTGCTGCTCTCAGGAGCAGCACCCCAGAGAACAAGGGAGAGCTGCCCTGTCACCTTGGGAGGGACCACACCAAAACACTCCCAGAGTCAGGGTGCATTAGAAACCAAATCCCAGTACTAATGCAAGGACACCCTTTCAGCAGTGAAACAGGGTTTCACTGTTTTTTGTGCTGTTTTATGCAATGAAACAATAAGATATGATTTCCTTGACAATGTGATAAATTATGCCTATTGATCAGAATAAGGGAAAATGTAAACACAGGTCTCATGTTTTAAATCAAAGAATAATGAATGGATAATTTGTGAATTTTAAAATTCTACTTCTCAAAATTTAATCTCTCACCTGAATTCTTAAAATGAGAAACTTTCTCTACTGAAAATGAAAATTTACTGGAAGGAGATGTTCTCTGTAAGATGAATTATGCGGTCTAGAGTAACCTTGTTTTGTCCCTGAAGTTTCTAACTGTCCTTTCTAGAGACATGGAAGTTTTTTGAGGCATCATGAAGTATTGTGGATATTGCAGGATCGCAGTCTATAATGCAAAACACAGTCCCAAGTCTATCCAGTAGTAAATTAATTTCTTAGTCTTAGTTCAAGCACTAGTTTTCTGTGTAAGAGAACACACAGCATATAAAAGCAATTCTTCTGAATTATTTTTATGCCAAAATACTAGATGAAAAACCTTAAGATAAACTTCAGAACTAAAACCTACAGAGTAATGTGACATTATTTCCTTCTTCTTAACAATACTAAAAAATTTTGCCTGGCATATGTTTGTTTACTGCCCCAAAAGTAAAAGTATTTATTTAACATGTAAACACCTACCAGCCATCTTTGCTATCACAAATAAGGAGCTCAATCAAACCAACTTCTGTCAAGTCAACAGATCAGTTTTTATCATCTTTTGAGACTTAATTGCTTTCCATAGCCAAGGGAAATTAAATCTCTTTTTGAAATGAGTTTATAATCCTGCACAGTGAAGAATTAAATGAAAAATCATGAAGCAAATCTGACAGGAATTTATTATTTCATCTTAAGACTAATTTATTGTTGATAACACTAACAACATTTTACTAAAGTTTTCTTAAAAAAAACCCAAATGAACCCTAGTTACCACAGATAAAATATTTATACTGATTATTTTATGTCCTAATATGTATCAGTCCTCTAGGGAACCATATTTTAACTGATTTTGGAATGCCAGTGAGCTCTTTACATGCTTGTTTACTTACTATAATTCACTAGCAAATCCTACAACACAATGAAATATTTTCAGCAGTGTTGACCATTTAATTAATGAATAACTTAATTCAAAATTCTCTAAAGTCTTTGATGGGTTGAAATTTATGAAGAAGATTAATGAACACACAAAATAACTTAGAATATTGTGAATGATATCAGAGGGAGCAAGACTGAACATTAAAAAACTCTTGGATGTGCACAGACACTATATAAGCAGAGAAGTAATTAGAAGCAATATTAATCAATGACAGTTTGTCACACTAAAAATATTTTTCTCAACTGCAGCTTTAGCTTTTTAAGCCTGCTAAAGACTCTGGGAAAAGTAATTCCTGTAACTTATTCCTTACAGTGCAAGAGGAGCTTCTGTTTTTTTTGTTTTTGTTTTCCTCTTGATTGTTCCAGATTAATCAGTGGTGATTTAATACTCTTATAATCAAAATCAGTGCCTTTGTCTTATACATTACTTGTCATAAGTCAACATTTGTGAAACTAAATAGTCTTGTCCTGGAAAATGGGAAAATAAACTAAGCCAGCTGCAAAACCCTATTCATAGCACTATCAAGAAATATACTTGGAAATTGTAAGGATGATTTATTCCACAAGCAGTTTATTTTCCTAGGTTCTCCTTGTGCTTCTAAAATCTGTGTTTTTCTCTTGCTCTGTGAGTAGGGTTCAATCATGTGGTGATTCTTATTAATATAGCTGGGTGATCTAAGAAGTGGCAGCATATTGGAGGTGTGGATTAATTTGATAATAACAATTTGAGGTAGCTTTTACAGTAATATTGCAACAAGTGGTTTTGTGGAAATAAATTGTTTTATACTGTCCTTTTAAGCTGTCAATAAATCACAAGCTCAAAATCTTTTGTTAAATATTGAGACTTCATTTAGAGACTGGAAAAAAGTTGTAGAACAATATTACTTTTTCTCATTTATTTTAAAAGCCAAGAAATTGAAATTTAGTCCTAAGCCTCTCAGAGAAGTTTCTCAAGTATAGTTTTTTAACACTACTGCAGCATTTAACATGCATCACAAAATGGTTTCTGTTCCATCTCCTTTAACAGCTCGACTGAAAATTTTGCAAAAATCCAATGCACCCTTGCAGAATTTGTACTTTGTCTTAGTAGATAACCTCTAAAAAAATCTCTTCACCTTCTCCTTTACTGTGTTCCCACAGTTGCAAATAGCAATAGTTTTAATATGAGTAACTCTTATTGACATTTCCAACAGACCTGAACAAATCTATGAAACCCAGGCTAACTTTGAGATTAGACTGTTTTAATTGAAAGGTTGGACTAGAATCCAACCAGACATCCCTCCAAATCTCAATGATTCTGTGATTTCAAAATTGACTGAGTCTACTTCCCAGACTTTGCCATTTATCTGTAACTTTGGGCTTTGAATCTCACATCTGAAAATTCAAGTCAATTTCTTGGTAACTGTTTTTTTAGAGTTGTATTTATTGTAAACACTTCATTGTTACCATATAAACAGTATTTATATGGCCAAATTTGAATGCTCCATTCCCCATATCTTTAAACTCACATGTGGATGTGAGGTTGTGATTATTATCTCTGAGGCTGCAGCTTAGAGCAGTTCTCATATCAGCAAGCAACAGGTAGTGTCCTGACGATCACAGAACATTTTCCCAATCTTTTCAGCAACCTCAATTATAAAGTTTGTGACCTCAACCTAGGAAAACCAGCTACTAAAAACCCACAAGGGACCTCTGGAGCTTTGATTTTGACTTTGACTTTGATTGACTTATGATTATCAGAATATCAGATATTTAACAGCTAAGGAAAGAAAAAAAAATAAAAACAAGAACAGAGACTTTGAACATTTCAATGACATGTACAGTTCTTATTTACTCTTCTCACTTTTGAAAAAGTAATTTATTTGAAATGGTTACCTGGATCTGTGGCAGACATCAGTGATCCAAAAAATAAACAGTCAGTGAAGTGGAATTCCCATTGCTTTAATTGGCCAATATGTACCATGGCCTTCACAAAGCCATACATGATCAGCCTGTCAGGGCAAAGATAAGACTGGTATTCAGACAGAGTATTTAATACTTATGTTTAATTTACAGTAGGAAACAGGTTCTTATTCTTATTCTTCAGCTTCTTTTCAATGAATGTATTCATCAATACTGAACATTAACTGGTATCATTTAAAAATTCTATTTTCTGATCAACTGTCAAATATTGTATTGAAACATCAGAGACAATTCCAAATCAAAGGTTTTCTGGGTAATTGTCATCTGCTGTTAGCAGCAAACAATGGTTTGGGCTGTTTATTTTTCAAAAGGAAAGATAAGGTAAGCTTAAGAAGACATTATTAAGACAAATTTGTCTAATGTAGAACCCTTAAACAAAGGCAGTTCTACTATCAGCTGTGTGGCTTGCTCTGTATTTCTAAATTAATTGTTTTATTCTATCAGCTTTTAAATGTTAGCAGCACTCAAAGTTTCACATAAGGTCTCTCTAAATGGGCATATTTTACAACTCACAATGACAGTGAGCCAACAAAGTCACACTTCAAAATACACTGCTACAGCCTCACTGGTTTCACAGGAAATGTTATCACTGGTTTATGTAACTAGGCAGTGCTCTCTGAGATGTGCATTCCAACCAGAATCTTGAAATAACTTGGAAAAAAGAGGTTCACTTGTTGTTAGAACCTGTTGCAGATTTTTACAATATGATTCATGTTCAGTCTAGTTAATAATAAACCCCATTGCATCCAATGCCTGCTCCATAAACACATTGACAGCTGTGCCCTTCTAACTTCAGACTCCAAACCAATCATTTAAACAATTCCATGCATGCTCCTCCTGGGCTAGGTTTTGCCCTCAGCTATCCTCCTAAAGAGCTCCTGAAGTCACATCAACACAGATCTGAGGGACAGATAAAGTGCAATTAACAAACAGCCCGAGAGTTAATTACAAATCACTTTCAGATACGTCACCAAGCTCACTGTGTTGCACAAGGAGAGAAGCAGACAGGTCACCATGGCCTTCCCCAGTGGCCCTGGGTATTTGTGTACATATTTACAAAAGTTCTCTAGCAAACAGTTCACCAGCAATTGCCCTAAAACACCGTATCCAGCTGTGGGTCTCCTTGATTGATGAGCTCACCTTCTCTCCCTTCCCAAAGCATAATGACTCAAGACCTTGCAGTGAACTTTGTCTTTTTATCCCCAGCAAAATTTGTCAGCTTTAAGGAATGAGTCCTTCAAAACCTGATTGTGGTGCAGCTCTCCCGATTTTCAATTGTATCCAAAGCCACAGTAAGAGAAGTGAGCACAGCCATGTCTTTTAGAAATAATTGCCTAAACCTACTTTCAGGTTTGACCAGAGACATTCTTCTCCCTCATTTAAAACCTATTTAAAAATAGTAAATAAAACTAAGTTCTAACTGTTTGACAAATATAGTAATGATAATTAAATTTATCAGTAATTAAAAGTTGCAGAAAACTTCTCAGATGGACTTAGTGATGGTTTTGTTCTTCAAAAAAATGTTTGTGAATAACTGATTTGACATAGATTTGTAACATTAATAAAGTAAAAAACCAGAAGAATAAAATACAGATCAGCTTTGCTGCAGGAGGCGTGATATTTTCTACACCCAAACATTTTTTTAAGTCTGGGGAGGAACCCATCAAGCTAGAGCAAATATTTTACCACTTCAGCAGGAAAAGAGAAAAACAGTAATGTAACAAAACACATGAGAATTCAGAATTTTCCAGATTATGCAAGTCTGGCACTTACAAAGTGCCTCATCACTAAAAAATGCTGCATAGAATGCTGTCATTACACAGTAGAGGAGACACCATATAAATATTTGACTTGCTGAAGTAAGAATCTTCTGGGAAACTGAACTTTAACTACAATAATTTCCAATATGAGCCAGCAAGTAAACCACACAAACCACACAAAATCTCAGCACAACAGCACAAAAAAACCCCTTTAAACTGACAAAACTAACAAAAATAAAAGTAAATAACAGACACTGAAGAACCAGAACAAAAACTCTTCAAGGCTTTAATTATTCTGAGCATTGGGCTATCCTTAGATTTTTGAGGCCAGACTGAATTTTGAAGCTTGGTGTAGAAAAGTGGGGGTGAAGAGTCACCATTTGTGCAGGGTGCAGTTTTTTTTACTACCACAGTTCTGCTGCACATTGATGAAAGGAGTTTGGAAAGCACACTGGCTGGCAGTGTACTGCTGGAAGGTTCCAGTGAGTTTGTTTCTAAAGCCGCTCTCTAGGAAGGCTACTCTGGAACTGGGACATCCGTGAACTAGCTGCTGTTTACATGCAGAGGGAAAAAAGCCATCTCCTAAGGCCTTTAAGGAGTAATTACTACACACAAAACTTTCTAAATGCTCAGGAAGAGCTTTAGATGCTGCTCAACAGAAACTTATTTCTTTGCAAGAGCTTCCTTTAGCAGCATCTGGTTTTAAGGGATCTGAAAAGAGACAGCAAAATTGCTTTGGGGATTTTTGGGAAGTTCTTGTCAGAAAGCTCTCAATAGCAAAACCTCTCCAGCATACTGCTAGTAGAAGAGAGATAATTGGTAGTTTTAGAGAGAGGAAGTGGGGTATGTCTGATGCAGAATGGGGAGGCTGCAGGAAAGATGCAAAGGACAGAAGCAATGTAAGTAGTCACAAACAGGATCAGACCACACTGGGAAGGGAAAAGATACCAGAGTCTTCAAGACAGGGAGGCTGAAATCCTGGCAAGAGTTTTAGTCCTCTGGGTGGCTAAGAAAGGCCATAAGTAACGCAGAGTGAGCACAGCACACCCGACAGGTAATCAGCAAGAGGCTGTGCTGCTCCTAAAGACAGCCGCTACAACCAGCCCGGGACCAGCGCTCCTGGGAACGTCAGACAGCAGGGTCCAAAAGAACCCTAGAGAGCAGCTCTGTATGCATGAACAGTGCACAAAGGGGGACAAGGAGACTGCATAAGGTACCTTAGGTACATGTGAGATGAGACAAATGCAAACTGAAAAAAATCCTTCAAATCCCTTGTGGTAAAAATATGCCTCAATGGTGTAGTCAGGCAAGAAATCTGTGCCAAGCTGTGCCTCCTAAAAATCCCAGACACATCTTCAGCTTGCAGGACTTGGCATCACAGCACCTATCCCTCTGCAACAGAGCAAACTAAAAAAACCATGGCAATAAATACATATTGGCAGGTTAGTTTATAGGATACTGCTTCTTTTTAAACTGACTGCATTGTCTCATGCAAACTAAAACGAGAAAACCTACCAGTTCTAAAGGAATCTACTCTTAATTTAAAGCTCTAGAGAACATAAATAGAATGTAACAGAACCTGCTAAGTGAAGACATAAAGCACACACACATGCCCTGTATCCTCAATACAGATAGCCCCATCTGCCTGATGATTCTATCAGCAGTTGTATTTTCTTCAGCTTTGTTATTCATTGCATTATCACTGTTGAATCTCACTATGGGTCTTTATTGTGTTAAAGGTTTTAAAAGCATAATTCCAGATTTAAAGCGTTTGTGCAGTTATTCTGTGTAGCATGGAAGAGACTTGTAATTTAAATCTTTCTTGCCAAATATATTTTCTAGTCTGCAGAGAATTTTTTATCTCATAGTCTAATTCCCTAAAGAATCTTACCCTATCTAGACATGATTATCTTGTAGCTTGAAGCCAGTTGAACATGGCTACAGATTGTAATCATGCAAGTAAAAGATGAAAAAATATTTCTTCCTTCATATTTCTTCTTTTTCACAAGGAATAGTGATATTAATAAGCCAACAAGAGGAAAAAGGGATGGTTTTATTCTTGCTTGTGTATGAACTAAAATAGTGATTGGTTGATACTATAATAGAAATAAAGAAGTCACTTGTCAGAATTTAAAATATATGCTGAAAAACACAAATAGTAGAGATGAAAATGAAAAATGCATTTCTTTATTTTGATCTTTCTATTTCTACCATACCAAGATATTTCTATAGCTTTTTCTACACAATAGAATTCTTCACATCAAATGTTCCGGCCGTAGTGATTTGATATTTCAAATTGCTCTCTGTGCTACTACTTCCTTCTTTTAGTCCTCTTTTAAATCAGTTTTGTCACTAGAAAAGGTACTATCATGGGCTTTTCTCCAAAAAATCATTTTCTCGCTAATCAAAGCAGGAGAAAACCTCACTGAAGTGTGTCAGGTAACAATAAAGCAATAGTAACATTACCTAGAGTTATCCTGTAGAAATCACACAAGAAGAAAAAACCCCTCTGGCTATAGAAATAACAGAGATCAGAAAAGAACCCGACTTTACAAATTCGCTGCATCCCCAGTTACCTGGGGCATAGTGACTGTCCAGCAGCTGAGCATTAGAACTGCACAGCTTTAGCTCTCACCAAGCTTTAGCTTCAGCAGATGTGACACACAGCTCCAGTGAGCACTGCTGAGCTCCGGGAGGGGCAAAGGCCTTCGCGTGGCTTCTCCCGCGGGCAATGGGAAAGATTTACCACCGAGATTTTGGTGGTAGTCATGGATCATCTTCTGTTTGCTTACATCAGAAGTTGGGATGGGAAGGCTAAATGGAGGGAAATACACTTCACACCTCAGAGACAGGGAAAGAAAGGCTGTGTTTCAGTAACCATTAATTCACAGGTATCTTGGCTCCTCAGACAGTCCTGTGCTACTGGAGTTTTGGGAAAGTGAAGGCTGCTCAGAGTTGTTTAATCAAGGAAGCAAGTATTGAATGTAAATTAAAAATCCAGCCCGGGTTTCTGTATCAGTCAATTTGGGGGCAACTGGTAATAGAAAAATTGAGAGAGGCTTCAAAACTGCAGTCCTGTGATGCCCCGTTTTTTCACTTAAGGGAAGACCAACCATATTTGTGTTTGAGGCTTTAGGACTGGCTTGGACAAGATTATGCAGGAGGCCCGAGTGCTCAGAAAGCCTCAGTGTCTGAGTCTTTGCTTAACTAAAAATATCTTCCTATGGATTTGTCCTCATGAAAGTAAAGAATAGCTACATGTCAGTATG